TACTTTCTCTCACGTCCAGTTTGACTTTGATTTCAGCTTCATCGAGCTGTGGCTCTTTCAGGTTTTGTCCACAGATGACTGACAATACATGTGGCACCTGATAATAAGGCAGTCTGTTGTGGGTCTGTTGGCCTATCAGGGTTGAAAGCGTGGGTAGAGTGACGTAGCCAGGTGCTTTTGTCTCTAAATAACCTGTGACAGAGAATATACTACTCATTGATTTGGTGTCTTGATTTTATGAAGGAAGATATTTCTAGGCTACGCAGGAAGCTGGAGACCACTAAGAAGCCTGACATGGTTCCCAACTGTGATGAGATATTGATGGAAGAAATCAAGGATTACAAGGTGAGTGACTGTCTCTAACTTCCCTCTGTAGCTGTGCTTTAGTCAGAAGGCTGTGCAGTCGTGTTTTTAGTATTTGACATCTCTGTACTCTGGATTTTTGCACTGAAGAAACTGCGTTCTCCTTATGAGCCATGGGAGGACCCTCAGACATCTTTTGACATCCTCAGTGCCATGCAGTGTGCCCTCACTATAACATTTCTATCTTGCAGGCCCGTTTGACCTGCCCGTGCTGTAACATGCGCAAAAAGGATGCTGTGCTCACCAAGTGCTTTCATGTCTTCTGTTTCGAGTGCGTGAAAACACGCTACGACACCCGGCAGCGTAAGTGTCCCAAGTGCAACGCTGCCTTCGGTGCCAACGACTTCCACAGGATCTACATTGGTTGACTCTTCCCACCGGGGTGATGGGAAGTTGTCACCTGTGCTGAGCGCCCAGCCTCCCTCACCTTCTGACTGTCACCTTTGGGGCAGTCAGTGCTTCTGTCAGCTGATCTGCAGTTTCTTACGGCAAGTGTGATTAGGCTATGGAAAGAAACAGATTCCGGATCTTTGTTCCTTTTTGTTCCTTTTTATTCTTGCCCTCTTTTTCTGTGGATTCTGTGTGCCTGAGAGGCCGTTACCCATCCATCACTTCCATACGCCAAGCTGGGAACACCTGACTGAAATCCTGTGCTGATGAGACTCCATGATGCTGTTGTCTGGTGCAGCAGAGATAAACGAGGCCTTTGAGGAGTTTGCTTTGGATGATAATTATTAAATCACATCAAGGTATGGTAGTGTTTCTGAGAACGAATAGTTTCCTGATTAAAGGGCCAGTAATAACGAATTAACATCTGTAGACTTCAGTGGAGTGACTCCTTAGATGTTTTACCTTCCTAAGTCAGGGCAAGAACTTGTGAAGGCTGGTGAATTAGTGAACGTTCTGCCTAGCCCTGAAAGGAAATAGATGTTCTAATATCCAGAAGAAGAGAAAGATAAGGTGTTGGAGAATCTTGGAAAATAGCATTCATAGCATTCCACTGATGAACCCTGGCTGATGTGCACATCCTCCCCTAGGTTGAGGTGCTGCTGGCATTGTCCTTAGTTTCCAAAAAGGATTTTAGAGGTTACTTTGTTGCTACTTTGACACAAAGATTAATCTTTTAATGCACAAAATCTAATAAAAGCTCTCGTCCAGGTTATTTCTCTGTTTTTCTTGCCTCTGATTGTATCTGTACTCCTGTGCTTTGTCCAGTTAGTGGAAACATTTTTCACGAGCTTTAAGTTTCTAAAGTGGACAGATTAATTCTTCCTTGTTCTGCTTTTAAAAAATGGTTAAAACACTACCTTATCCCTGACACAACAGAAGGGCTGAGATGCTTGATTATCTGTGCAGTTGTTTTGTCATGGACACTAGGAATTTTGTGAAAGGACATGGCATAGGTTACAGCCTCTCTGCAGCCTATAGTGCAAGGCTGCTCCTAAAATTGAAACAAAAAGTCATTTATTTACAACATTGCTTCATAGGGCATTGTGTTTTCCCTATAAGCTTAATTTTCTTGGAAGGTGCAACCGTCTGAGGTTTGTCTTATCTGTGTCCCTTCCCTCAACCGTGAAATCTGTATTCACTGTGGGAAGTAACAGAAACAACAGTAAAGTGAAAGCAGGCTGTCTTACAGTATGCATTATTATTTTTATCTTCCCAAAAACATTCAGAAAATATGAATTAAACCTTTTAAATTGCTGTGAATCCTGAAAAGTGAGAAGGAGCACGTGACTCCTTTGCAAGGGGAAGCTGGGATGCCGGGTCTGTGGTGTAGCTGAAGTTCTGTTACAGAGTGTATGGATGAGACGACAGGGGAACCCTCGCTGCTTTCACTGGGGGCTGATCTCTGCACGTTTGTGATGTCAAGTTGGAGAAAGACCAGTGTGCTACAAATGCTAATGCTGATGGTAGATTCTGTGGTACAAATGCTCATTCAACAAAACCAGCACCTGGGTCACCAACATTGTCAGGATCTTCACGCAGCTTTGCACTGACAGTAGACTCTTTCACAGCTGTGAACAAAATCTGAATTAAACTGCCCTTGTAGAGCTGCAAAGCCCCTTTATCCTTTCTTGTCATTAAGTTTCGTCACCTTTCTACCGAAACCCGGCTTGACACCTTTGTGTGTGTACTGGCCGTGCTGAGTTCACTCTGGTCGTGGTAGGAAGCAAAGACTGGAAACAGTGTGGATTTGTTCCACTGATGAGATTTGGAAACCTGTTTCCTCAGCTTTAAATTAACAGTTTAAGTCCAGTAAGCCCTTGAAGCTCATTTTGGAAGTGACTAAATTTCTCTGTGCTTATAATTTAAACATTAAGAAACTGAAAATTTTAGATTGTCTGTTTTGACTTGCCAGAATGAGTAGAAAAAAGTGTATCGAGAGTCAAACAAGGTCAATTGGAGGTCAAACAAGGGAAGGGGTGACAAATATTCTTTATCAAAAACCTCTTTAAATTCAGTGTGAGAGTCAGAGTAATTAAGTGTAGACAGAGGAGAAGCTTCACCTGCAGTCTCCAGTGCCCCTTCTCGTTATAGCCAGGCCTCTTCGTGCAGTGGCAGCCTGCAGGCAGAGAGGTGTGTGACACTCCCTGTCCCGCAGAAAGCTACGAGGATCCATTTTTCTGCCTCCAAGTGGGATCAGGCTGGAGCAGCAGTTGAGTTAGAAAACAACATTGCCAGGATGTGTCTCCGTTGGGCAAAAACAACTTGGACCTTCTCCAAGGAGGCTTCTGGCTGGTGCTGCTCTCATTTGGAGCAACCGCTGTTCTGCATGGGACATGGGCCCTAAGAGACTCGCCAGAATCAGACACTTTTGCTTTACATTAAATATCAGGTGGTTTGCTTTTTTTTTACTTAAATTTTTAAATGAAGAGTGATTTGTTGAAAGATTGGGTGTTTCAGTTTGAACTAAACCAGGTGTTTTTGTTTGAGGTCGTTAATGTTTTCAGTTAATTTTTCAATTTTTAGATTTTTTTGTCTGGGCTCATGCTTTAGAGATGAGTACATAACTGTGGATAAACGTACTGATACAGTAGGGCTGAAGCATTTCCTAGTGTTTACTCATCGTAATGAGAAGAGCAGTGTTCACCTGTTCTAACCAAAGGAGGTTGGAGGCTGTATGGCACTGGATGCTGCACAAGTGAAAATCTCTGTATAAAGCTGGTTGTCTGGATGAGGAAGGGGAGGATTGGAAGGCAACACAAGCAGCTGGAGTGACTTGCCCATGTTCATGTGGTCTTTCAGGAGTGAGGAAAGAAACACAGCCAAGGTCTTTTGGACCTATGTGAGTCTAGATCCCCCTTTCTCAGTTTACATCCTAATTACTCTTTGCTGTGTCACTGCTTTGAAAGAAGGTGACACACTCGCTGCCCCAGAGCAGAGGCCGAGGACTGTGCAGGGACGAGAAGAACATGAACTCCTCTTGATGAGGCTCATTACTCTAAGTGTCACTGCTATCAGCTTTTAATCCATGCAGAGCTTTCCATGCGCAAGTGTTCTGTAAAAGTTAAGAGGTGCAGAAAAGGCAGAACGACTTTTTCAAACCCCAAAATGCAGTTTGAGATCTGCCTGTAGGCTTTAAACCACGCCTGGAGAGAACATCACCGGGCACCATTCGCAGGTGTCTGCAGATACAGGGGGAGTATAAATGACTGGTGGCCTCTCTGGGAGAGCAGTGTTAATTCTGAAGGTGTTACAAACATACTCTTTCTCCAGTGTTGGGAAGTGTTTAAGACATTCACAGGAGCCCTGTTCAAATAACACAGTCGGTCGGGTTGATGCAGTATTTATTCAGATGCTGAACAGCTTACCCTCTGTCCCCTCTGCTCGTCACCGGGTGGGAGGGAGCTCTGCACAGTACATGGCCTCAGACACCACAGCTCGTTCTGCACAGCGAGCCCCTGCTCCAGCGGAGGCTCTGGTGACCTCCTTTGCCTTCGGTGGGAGCGTGGTGCCAGAGCAAGGCACAGACCAGAGCCCCCTTTTGTTACCACAGCTGTGAGAGAGAACCTCACTGTCAACTGAACATGGAGAGCCTTAGTTTCAAGTTGGTAAATACTTCATCTTTGGCAGTAACCATGGATCCACAGCACTGCCGCTGCTCCCACCCTTCGTCCCTGCTCACATCCCCTCGGACCTGCCAGAAGCCGCTGCCTTGGCTGCTCTCTGGGTGGGGGTGGGAGCCAAACTGGGGCTCAAAGCAGACAGAGGTGGTGATTTGGTTTTTGCCGAAGTTATTTTTAAGCTGGGTGAGTTCCTTTATCGCAGTCACAGAGCAGCCGCATCTGAGTTTGTGCTGACAGAGCCGAGGGAATGGTGTGCACTTAGATTGCCACCTAGACTTGTCTTGTGACACC